ATTGGTTAATTAAAGGTTTAATGTCTCGGTAGGTCCCTATTTTCGGCGTGAATCTCAAATAGGTCCCTTTTCTTTTCGGCGTCTCAATTGGGTCCCCATTTTTGTAAAATTGTAACAATTAGGGGTCTGCCGTCAAATTGGACAAACGGCCGTTTAATTGTTTCTTACGTGTCAGATGGGAATCATGCCACGTGTCATTACTGAAAACACTGTTCATGCCACGTAAGAAACAATTAAACGGCCGTTTGTCCAATTTGACGGCAGACCCCTAATTGTTACAATTTTACAAAAATGGGGACCCAATTGAGACGCCGAAAAGAAAAGGGACCTATTTGAGATTCACGCCGAAAATAGGGACCTACCGAGACATTAAACCTTAATTAAATGAAGGTCGTACATCACTTGATAATTCCAACCTAGGATCAAGGTCGATAGTGTTACCATAGTTGCACTATTTATCTACAGCGGGCGAACTGCTCCACTGTTAGCATTCGGAGTAAAATGTTTGTGCCTACCGACTTGGTAGGTAGGGTCGCTTTCAGACTCATTGCATAATAGATTCTTACTTCCTTTGGGTCTACTTGTGATGATGGTCGAGTGATCATCTGTTAGGAACTTCATTTCCTTGGATAATACGATCCTGTCTAGGAAATCATATGGTTTTTTTGTTGAATTTGAATCTTCAAGAGGTGCAAGAAAAATAAATTAAAGAAGAACACAAAATTAAACAAAGATAGGGATGTCACAATCTATATTGATATGTCAACTAAAAATTTGTCACGAATATGTTAATCTTTGATAAGAATCAGAGTTCTAACCTAAGAACCAAAAGAATCTTTTCTTTAATAATACAAATGCATATAATATGACTCAAAAGTGTCTACATATGTATTTGGTGCCCTTATATATAGGCACAAATGTCCAAAGAACATAAACCTTAAAATAATGGCAGAAGCCCAAAACACATAAAAATAACTGAAAATGAAAATTGAAACCGCAAACTTGCCCAAAAAAAACTCAACATTCTGTAAAATTAAAATAAATTACAATTTATTTAATTTCCTAAATTATTCTTTAATTGTGCTCATGATCTTCGTGTTCTTTAAGTTTCCTCCTTCACGGAACATTATAAAATTCAAAGGTACGTGTTTTGATCTTTAACCTTGCAAATGATATTCCTCGAGTTCTTCTCATATATGTTTGAGAGATAGTTATCTATCATACCCTTCTTCTTGAAAAGAATTTGTCCTCAAATTCGTACTACTTGAAGATTCCTTATTATTCTCCCTTATTTGAAGATAATTCAACCTGAATTCTAAAAGATCTTACGGACAAACATAAACATAAATCAAAGACACATATCTAAAATAATCTAAAATAGAAATTCTACTAAAATGAGATTTGGATCCTAGAAGAGGCCAATCTCTTTTCATAAAAAATTTTGGAGGCCTGCCTATACGGTCAAATACTCATATGCACAAATCATTAAACATTTTTAATTTAAAGATGCAATGTTTAAAGAAAGTCAAAAAATATTGCCCAAATAAACACTCAAACTATCAGTTTTCAAACAAGCTAACTCATGTGCATATATTTTCAAAATTCTCTTGCCCATAGATTGGTTGAGAATGGATAAACAAACTAACTCATGTTCAACTATTTCTAAGTTTGTGTCGAAACCAAAAAAGCAATTTTGACTTTTCAAAGTAATTAACAAACAAACTAACAAATTATCAAACACAAATTCGTTGAATTCCAAGCTTGTATTTGTCTTTTTTGTCATCATTTATTCACTTCATTCTTGTTGTCGTTGCTCATTGATGGATAAAAATTTCCTAGGTAATATCATTGTTTCTTCTCTCTATTGTTGGTGCCATTGGTTCTTGATAAACAATTATTCCTTAATCAACAAAACGCGATGAATTAGTACTTCCTTTAAATGAAAAATTAGGATGCTCTTTTCTTTCTTTTTCCTTTTCTCTCTTTTTGTTCTCTTGTACTTCTTTTACTTCTTTTTCTCTCTTTTCTTTCTCTTCTTTTTCTCTTATTTCTTTTGCTTCCCTTTCTTATGCTCTCGTTAGCTTTCACTCTTGTTTTCTTTTCAACCCATCTAACTTTTGCAAAGTCCTTTCTTCCTCATATTTCAAATGTAGAATGTAGTTCTTGAGGTCGTGATTAGTAGTCATGGGACTTACATTCTAATCAGGACATTCATGAGTTTCATGCCCATAACTTCACATTTGAAACATCTTACAACACTTGATTTAACCCTTGGAAAGACATTTTTGTCATCCTTGTGCTTCCTTTTAATACTAAAATTTAACCATTTAACTTAAAAATTTTGGACTCCAGGGCATTGATATTCTTCACCAAGGCCTCATGAACACACAACTTCCATAATGATGTCTCTGTTGTTAATTACTAATAAATCTTGCAAAAGGTTAGGAAACAAAATAAAAAATATATATTTAGATCATCACTACTCGTTTAAGTATTTCACTCGGGTTTCACACTTATAAGCTTTTTGTTAAAAACTCAAGAGAATTGGATAAATATTAGCTTTTTTAATATGACATAAAAAAGATAAATTAGGATATTCAAATCAAAACATTAATGTAGATACCAGATGATACCATCTTGTCCAGGAAAGAGTATGATCTTTTATGAATTTAAATCCTCAAGAGGCAATAAAAATAAATCAGAGCAAAAAGCAGAATTAGACAGAGATGGAAATGCCACAATCTAACATGTTGATAAGTCAAGTGAAGATTCATCACAAAGATGTTAATCTTTGATAAGAATCAAAATTCTAATCCAAGAACCAAGAGAATCTACTCTCAAATAATGAAAATGCATATAATATGACTCAAAAGTGTCTACATATGTATTTGATGTCCCTATATATAGGCACAAATGTTTAAAGAAACCTAGAAGCCTTAAAATAATGCCTAGAGCCCAAAACACATAAAAATAATAAAAGATGAAAATTATAGTCGCATACTTGCCCAACAAACTTAACATTCTGTAAAATCAAAATAAAATTATAATTTATGTAATTTCCTAAATTATTCTTCAATTGTGCTCATGATTTTCATGTTCTTTAAGTTTCCTTCTTCATGGAACATTATAAGATTTAAGGGGACGTATTTCGATCTTTGAATTGCAAATGATCTTCCTTAAGTTCTTCTCATTTATGTTCGGGAGATAGTCCTTTATCATTGTGTAAAGCAACTCAGTGCCTCACTTGGAGGTTTTTTATCTGATTGAATAAACATTAGGAGTCACCCATCTTGGAAAGAGCTCAAAACTTAGTACTCATCACCCCATTCAAAAGAGTCGAATAAAGGTGTCGTCCCAGTCTCTTGGTTTTGCAACATATGCTCCGACAAACTTTACTAGATTTCAACACTCTCATTACTCTCAAGATGGTGCGTTACTTGCTACTTTAGCAATTTTTCAACAAGTAGATAAATTCAGTTGTCATTGTTATGCTTGCTAGTGTAGTTTGCAACATTGTAGCTTTACTCGTTTGTCGAGATGTTTGGTATATTATTGAGACTCTACCGACTCTCATCCCGACGAGAGTTATGATGCCTCTGTTGAGTTTATTTGCTCTAAGCTCTTTGGGATTTGTGTCGAGCAAATCAACTACCTCTCACTTGTTGATTCTACATTTCGACATAGGCTACAATGTATGTGTTTGTCGTGCTCTCGTTTGTTGTGGAGGGAGTGAGATCTTGAGCGTGAATCTACGAATAAGTGACAAGATCTTAGTGGTGGCTTGAATGCTTTTGATGGTCAAAATTGAATCCATTGGTGTTGAGAGGGGGTTTACCTGGGCCTATGGTGAACATCAATATTTGATCCAAAGTTTTTCTATGACATCGTTAGGATGAATTATCATATGATATGGTGTTCCTTTTGGAGCGTGAAACTCCATCACAATTTTGTCTTTAAAGACATATCAAAGGATGGAAGGAAAAAAAGAAATAAATATTTAAAGTAGCTTAAGTCTTCACTTTAAAATATGAAAAACTATTGAATATGATAAAAATAATAATAATAATAATATTTTATCTTTTACAATTATTTAAAATTTATCATGAAACATTTAATTTAAAAATAATAATTCTTCGTGCAGAAAATAAAAGTTGAATAATGTATTATAAGTTCAATAAATAAAAAAGTACTATTTAGCATAAAGATCAACTCAATGAAGTCAAAAGAATATCATTGCTACCATAAACACAAGTGCATAATACATTACTACCAACGAAGAAAGTACAAAATCGATGTGACATATTATATTATATTTAAATACCTAATTGATGAATAACTTTAACTTGTTTTACTTTTACTTTTGTGCGTTTTAAGTCGACATATATACTTTTAGGTTTTGGAAGAACAATGTCTTTTATATTTAAATAATTTTCGTTTATTAATTGATTTTCCTTATACTTTTATGAATATAATTAAGTATTTCATCATTTTATATAAATATTTATTAATTAAATTTAAAACTTTTCAATCGAATCACAAAATGAGAAATAATCACTGAAAACAAACATAATTCATCAATAACGGAAACAATTAGGTCAATGTCAATTACCTAATTGAAAAACCACCTCACCTCGCACGCTACACCACCATGCGTTCCACGCCGCTGCAGTGGCGTCACCTAACACCTACGCCACCACCGTGTCACGTGCCCTCACACTAACGCAACCTCAGCATCACGTGCCTCACCCACTAACCATGGTTTTCACCTATTATGCTCTCAACCCACACCATTCATTCTCTTCTAAAAGCAACACAAAAGAAACAAATTAGAAAAACAGCAACATAAGACCGTAGTCATTGTACTACTTTTCGTTTCGAGTTCTCGAAAGGAGTGGGCCCCATCTGACAGCTGGCTTGCCACGTGTCATTTTTTCTCATTTTTTTTTCACCATGCACTGTGAAATATAAAAAAAAAACGAAACAAAAACGTTTACACACACAACACAACTCCCAGAGTTGAAAATCGAACAAACCACCAGGAAAGAGAGAGAACTATATATTTTGAAGAGAAAACAAAGCCTAAAGCATATTCTTCCAAATTATTCATTCACTCCTACAACACCGTTTGTGTTTACCTTTTTGGTTAGGTTTGCCTTTTGGTTTCGTTTGGTTTGGTCTTCCAGGGAAAACCAACGCTACTATTCAATCCTCGAACCGTGTTCCTTGCGTTTTGGTTTTCTCAAGGTTTTGTTGCGGCTGAAGTAGTGCTCGTCGATCGATCTTCAAACATGCCTTCTAGTCACTTGCTTCTCGAGGAACCCATTAGGATGGTCTCCCTCCTTGAGCCATCCAAGCCTGTTAGTTTTTCTTCGCCGTTTTCTTTTCAATCAATGGATCTATTTTATGAATATTATAAAAAGGTTGTTTCTTTGGCAGAGTTTTTTCCCCGCAATGACAAAGATTGTTGGGACTCTGGGTCCTAAATCTAGATCCGTTGAAACTATTTCTAATTGTCTCAAAGCTGGGATGTCTGGTATGTTATATCACACCTTTTCCCTTTTTATTTTTCTTTTCTCAGATTGTGGAGGTATGGGGTTTTTGCGGAAGAACTGGTGGAGGGTTGTGTGTAGGTTTTTTTGTTGATGGTATTATATTTATTGTTGTTGGGTGTAGTGGCTCGATTTGACTTCTCGTGGCATGACCCTGAGTATCATCAGGAGACTTTGGAAAATTTGAAGGTTGCTATCAAGACTACAAAGAAGCTGTGTGCTGTGAGTTTTCTTCCTTCTCTGTTGTTTCTTGTAGTGGTTTTTGTTACCTTGGGGCTATAGAGCGGAGGGTTCTGTTTGTTTCATGGGAGAAATGTAGCTGAAAGATGGCTATGCCAATAATTCGGTTTTTCCTTTTTTTTTCCCTTTCGTGAGTTGGTTGCTTTGGATAAAAGAATAGAAACTGAAACCTACTTTTTGGTATGTTTACTGTCTGATTTGTCTTGGTGCAGTGGAACTTTTTAGTAACTGCTTCGGGAATCTTTGGTTTCTATGTTCTTGTATTTTTTTTCTTTCCATTTCTGTTAGAATTATGTTTATGAGAGTTTGATATTTGATTTTTACAGGTTATGCTGGACACAGTGGGTGCAGAAATGCAAGTTGTTAACAAAAGTGAGAAAGCTATCTCTCTTGAGGCAAATGGTCAGGTTGTTCTAACTCCTGATGCCGGACAAGAAGCTTCTTCTGAAATACTGCCAATCAATTTTGATGGGCTGGCTAAGGTACGTTGATATTGTTTGTTGTCGTTATATGATGCGACTTTTTCACGTGCACTGTTTCCACGGAATTAACTTAAATGGTTTATTGTAATTAACTTTTTACAATTTTACGGCATATGCAGTTCAGGCTTTGAATCATTTTCTTTTTTTCTGCTTGAATTGGCTATAAATTTTAACTATTTAATTTGGCTCTTGCCTAAATCTTAGTAATAGTTAACTCTGTTTTTCTTGATTCCTACTTGTAAATTTTCTTTTTGTGACTGCTTGAATTATCATGTGTCTTGCCTTATTTTGTGAAAGTCTTGTTGGACGAATGCTTCTTTCAGACCTATGTTTTTGTGTTGGCGTACAATGTTGATCTTTATTCTTATTTTTGATAGGCTGTGAAGAAGGGAGACACCATTTTTATTGGTCAATACTTGTTCACAGGAAGTGAAACTACTTCTGTATGGCTAGAGGTAAAATATTATTGAACCCAGATGCAAAATTTATTCCAATAGGTCCCTTGTTATTGTTACTTCAATGTTCTCCAGTATCTATTCAAACGATTTACATTGGTCCTTTTCATTTGTGTTATGAGTTTGTATTATATATTGTAAAATGTGCATGAGACGTTTATTTTAGGCCATAATGTCATTTCTTGTAATTGCAATTTACAGAATTGATATGTTTTTAATCTAAGTGTGACCTTAAGCATGAAAGGGAATATTCAACCTTCTATATGTATGATGGCTTCTTCAGGTATCTGAAGTCAAAGGGCAAGATGTTGTTTGCATTATAAAGAATTCGGCTACGTTGGCTGGGTCACTGTTCACTTTGCATGGCTCTCAAATTCATATTGATTTGCCCACTCTCACTGAGAAAGACAAGGAGGTAAGTTATGATTTTGATTAGCATGCTTGAGTGATTTACCTTTCACTGTGCATGCAGTGTTTCTTTGCCTAGGAAATGGGTTTCCTTAGTTTTGCTCTATGAAGCACGGACAAAGACACCAGACATTGTGACTTCAATAATATAATATTATATATATATTGAACATTATTATGAATAATTTAATTGATAATCAATATTATATTCAAAATCATCTATAAAAAGGTTAGTCAAATATACCAATCTGAACACATTTTTTCCTAATACAAAAACAGATCCAGTCCATCCATCTAAAATTCAAAAAGTGAAAAGAGGATCTAATTCGTTTAAGACATTTCACCCCTTGCGGATCACCATCATTGAAAAAGGCACCCTCTAAGTTAGATTCATCCAAAGACAAATTTAAATACAGAAGAGGAAACATAAAATGTAAATAGGAAATAAACTGTTTGTTTTTCAAAGAAGAAACAGAAGCCTACACCTTAAGTTTCTTACGTTATAACTTCTTAAAGAGGTCACTGTGTTTTCCCTCATTCATGTTGTATTGAACCATGTCGGAGCCACAAAAATGTTTTTTAAATTTGATGTGTGTCGTATGGGTGTTGTATGCATGTCAATCTTAGACACATGTCGGACATGGAGACTAGACATTGTGGAGCCATACCCAAGTTTTACAAGTTTTGGGTTTATTTTTGTTTACTCTGTTTGTTTTGTTTTCAGGTTATAAGCACCTGGGGAGTTAAAAACAAAATTGATTTTCTGTCATTGTCGTATACTCGACACGCTGAAGATGTTCGCCAGGTAATTTGAGTTCAAAATCCTTTACTTTGATCTGTCATCTCAAAGTCAAATTCACTTTTGGTATTTGAATTTGATCTTTTATTTTTAGGCTTTCTGTTAACGAACTTTTATATGTCTGTAATGCAGGCACGTGAATTCCTTTCAAAGTTAGGTGATATCAGTCAGACTCAAATATTTGCAAAGATTGAAAATGTTGAGGTGAGTTTGCATATATCTTAGCAATGTACTGTGAGAATTTTATTTTTTTCATGAAGTTATACTATTATTGGCTATGCGAATTTATTTATATATGAACATCTGCATCTATCTTGTTTCTTAGGGATTGACTCATTTTGATGAGATTTTACAAGAAGCTGATGGAATTATCCTTTCCCGTGGAAATTTGGGTATTGATCTTCCACCAGAGAAGGTAGATTTCCTTTTAAAAGCTTGTTTTGTAGTTTTTGTTGCCGTGCAGTATCATATCAAAATAAGATTAGTTTTGGTTGGACTAATTCTGTGTTAGAGATATGGTCTCTGCAACTATATCTGTCTTTTTTTTGGTGGTTGTACAATAATACTATAGTCTCTATGAAAGAGAACCCTTCTCATTGTCGTTTAGTTAGGCTAGGTATTATTTCTGTTGTATATGCTTATCGAGCACCTTGTATTAGCTTGCACGAGATTATTCTCAGAGTTTATCTGAATGTACTCCCTCTCATTTTGAGAATGAGAAATACAATTTCACTTTCATATTTTCTTTTCAGTCTTTGCTACTTGATTCTAATACTTGGTATTTGCAAAATTATTCTGGAATCTAGATTCAACCTTGGAACTTTAAAATTTAATATGAGCATGCTGTGAGGAAAATGTATTATGTTTTAGCTGAATCAGCTTAATGAATTGCTGCCTATGTTAAGACAATTATATCTTTGTTACTATCCCCATTAAGTGGATGCTGAGTAGTTCTAAGACTGACTTTTGCATAGATATCTTTATTAATTATTTTCCTTTTCTTTTGTAGGTGTTTTTATTTCAAAAATCTGCTCTTTACAAGTGTAATATGGCTGGGAAGCCTGCTGTGCTTACACGTGTTGTGGATAGCATGACTGACAACTTGAGACCAACTCGTGCTGAAGCCACTGATGTTGCCAATGCCGTTTTAGATGGTAAGTTTTCATATAATTCCACTTGTTAGGTTAGTAACCAGTAGTAGCAAGCTGTTTAGATACATGATCATCATTCATCATTCATCAAAGACAGTCGGGACATATTTCTCTTTTCTTATATATTTAGTTGGTTTTCAAATTATAGTGATGCCATTTTTCTCCAGTAATTCTAATCTAGCTCTTGAAGCTGTATGGTAATATTGGTTTGCTTCTTAATTGATAACATCTGCAAGTATTTGACAAGATCGCATCCCCATCCCCTTTATGAATGATTGTTTCTTTAATCAGTGCTTGTCCACCGTGTTTAGTTCGAACTACTTGATGTGTTGTTTCTTTTATCAGTGTTTGTCCACTCTGTCTAAGTTAGAACGACGTCATGTGTTTCTTCATTAAACTGTCTACAAATTTACAGGAAGTGATGCTATACTTCTGGGTGCTGAGACTTTACGTGGATTGTACCCTGTTGAGACTATTTCTACTGTTGGCAGAATTTGTTCAGAGGTAAGTTCATTTCATATCTCTTTATAATTTTTTTCAATTCATTAGATTTGTTTGAAGCCAAAATACTTTCTCCATATGTTGGACCTCTTACTTTTGTGAATCCTAATTTGGGTTGATAGCTTTCTTGTAAACTGATAGTGATTGATTCCTACCACTGTCTAAGATGTCTTTGGGGGAAGGTTTAGGAAGAGTGGGGATCTGAGTCCATTCAAGTTTTAAGATGCTTTTGTATCAATTCTTGAATTAAAGCAAGAAAAGTATGTTATTCTGTCTGTTAAAGATTCTCAAATATCAATAGTTAGATAGAGGGTGGAAGGACAGGAATAAAGCTTCAATAGGAGAGGTAGAGGAGAGTGCCATTCTGTTTTTTATTGTTGTTGCATGAGCTCAGTTGTAAAGGGAAACTGTTGAGAAGTGTTGACCCTTTGAGGGTAGATCTTTCTAGTTGTACTTGTAATTTCCATTTTCTTTTCTATCTTTTGCTGTCCAACTCAATGTGGCATTTATTTTGCGAATCCATTGTTGGGAATTCCTTAGAAGCATATGAAATGCCATACCAAATGCTCTTCTATTTGAAATGTCTCAATTTTGGCTGAATTCTACCTCCTATTTCATGTCCTTGTAGGCTGAGAAAGTTTTCAATCAAGACCTTTATTTTAAGAAGACTGTCAAATATGTTGGAGAACCCATGTCCCACCTGGAATCTATTGCATCCTCTGCGGTAGTTACATTTGCTTATGTCTCATTTCTTTAATAGTAGCTTGTTCATTTACTTTTTTTACAAGGTAGTTGATTTGATTTGATTTTTTGAGACTAGATTCTTACATGCTAATCTTTACTTGTTAGGTACGAGCGGCAATTAAAGTGAAGGCATCTATTATTATTTGTTTTACTTCATCTGGAAGGGCTGCAAGGTACTTTCTCAATTTCTTTGAGTAACTAGATATTGATGTCTTCATATTTAGTATTTTGGAAAAAGAAACCAGTTGCTCTGAATTGGATTAGACTTGGTTAACAAACTATCTGTTAGGAACCAATAATTGAAAAGAGAGAAATGAAAACATTTTATTGAATAGAATTAAAAGAACAAGAATTAGGGAAGCACTGTAATGCTCAGTCTGCAAAATTCACCTCCTCCCCCCTTCTAACTCATGAATATTCTAACTATCTTAACTAATTATTCTTCTCGGTTTATCTTAACACTATCCTTTAATAATGTCTGTATCATTTCTTTCTGGCTTTCATTTTCATTTAACCTTTATCCATAAAACTGTCTATCTAAATTGTTATATGTACCTGTCAGATTAATTGCTAAATATAGGCCAACGATGCCAGTTCTATCTGTTGTGATACCTCGACTAAAGACGAATCAGCTACGGTGGAGCTTTAGCGGAGCTTTTGAGGTTGATTTTTGATTTTGCTGCTTTTTTTTATTAATTATCTGACTGTTATTAGGTTGAATGTGAACGTTTGAGTAACTGGGGTGTCAACAATTGCTAATTAAATTGTGCTGTGTTTTTTTTTTCTTTTATATCTAAAGAACAATTTATTCTGTTGTTTTTATTGTCATTTCCGAGTTCAACTGCCAACTTTGTTCTTGGTAAGGTTTATGTCTGAGGCAACTGAATATTTTTCAAATAACATTTATCATAATATAGTTTAAATTATTGTTAAGTATTCTCAGCATATCATTATTGTTTTATTCTGTGTAAAGTAAATACATACAAGCATTTATTGTATTGGTCATTGGAAGTTATTACTTTACACTTGGATATAAGCACTCCTATTCCCATTTACTAGAAAGTTTTATTCACCAGAACGCATTTTGCTTACATTTTCTTACTTTGTTTACCAAACTTATTCGATTTTGTGACACAGGCAAGACAATCACTTATTGTGAGGGGTCTCTTTCCTATGCTAGCAGATCCTCGACATCCAGTAAGTTTTTGTTGTGGGATTTCTCCTCATTTATGGTTTCCTATTGAATTCATAGGCATTGCTATGTTGTGATTGTTCTTTTGGGGTAGACATTAGATGCTGAATCAACATCATGGTAACTGTACTTAGTCCAATGTTTAATTATTTTCTACAATAATCTTCACACCACATGGGACTTTTGTATTAATGATATTCTTTGTGCTATAGTTGCACTGATATGTATAAACATGTAATGTTCTGCATCTTAACATGCACCCCATTAATCACATACTCTATGCTTTCAGGCTGAGTCAACAAGTGCAACAAATGAATCTATACTTAAGGTTGCCCTTGATCATGGAAAAGCATTGGGAGTAATAAAGTCACACGACCGGGTAGTTGTTTGCCAGAAACTTGGTGATGCATCTGTGGTTAAGATTATTGAGCTTGAAGATTAAGGAGCATTCAACCAACATCAGAATTAGTGTTATTTATTTGTAGTACATCTTTTCCTAGTTTTTCAAAGATGCAGGTCATTCTGCCACAAGTAGAGGTTTATCTCTGCTTGATTTTGATGAAACGAATTTTGGATGCAAATTATTGCTGGCTGTAAAACATAAAATCAAGGGAATTTACTCTTGATGCCAATTTTTGGGTTTAGTATTATTCATACTAGAACACAGCTCGAAAATGTGATCATTGAATCGGATTACCAAACAAATGAGATGCTAATAGCTTGTTATTTCAGACACCAATTGTTTATGACCTTATTTTTTTTGTCTTGTCTTTGTGGTCATATGAGCAAGAGTATTTAATTAACAGTGTGTATTAAACTGACTTTTACTAATGAAAGTGCCTAAACTGCCATGATTCATTAAGGTTTGGTAAGTATCGTTTAACTATTTGGAGGAAAGTTCAGTGAATTAGTAGTATAACCGTAGTTGATTTGATCTTAGTTCTCTTGTTAACAGAATTTATACAAACAAATTATTCATGGCAACGTTTATTTTATAGAATTAACGGAAGTATGATGCCAAATCTGCTCTGCTCAAATCATTAGACTCACTTTGAGAAATTCAATATCTATAATGTTTTAAAGCAGTAAATTTCAATAAGTGATATTTTGTTGCGGGTTGTACAATTATCATCCGGAAATTAGGGATGTTGAATCACAATTGTTAAGGAAAATGTTATAAGTAACATTAATTAATTGTCTTATCATGGAAGTAAGGTGAATTGAATTGTGTTAGATTATTGCACTTTTAATTAAAAAGGGTTAAATTTCAACTATTAACTATAACTTTTAATTTAGAAGTAAATGTTTGATTCAACAATTGGTACTAGTTAAGTTTATGAGTTAGTTTCTTATTAAAACACTTTTTAAAGAAAGATTGTTGTCGATTACACAATTGTTTCGTGACTTAGGCTAGCTGAGTCAAATAACAGTGGAAAAGTTTGTACAATGGGTAGTAATTTTTTTCAGTGCTGCAAAGTAGAAAACAAAACGAACAAAAGTGGCACATCAACATTTACAAATGTTTATAATTCATTTGTGTTGAATTAAGCATCTTAAAAATAGTTTTATAATAAAATTGTTGCAAATTGAATGTAAAGCGCCTGTGGCCTAATGGATAAGGCGCCTGACTTCTAATCAGGCGATTGTGGGTTCGAGTCCCACCGGGCGTGACTTAATTCATTTTTATGGCAAATCGTTTTATAATTATATCGTCTTCAGATCATCACATGAAACTCAATCGATATATTATTTTGTTTTTATTATAAAAATGTAGTGACCATTGATCCCGGGTCAAAAGCTTGAAGGAGGAAGTGATGTATTATGTTAAACATGGTTTAAAACAAAAATATTCCATAGCAAATTACGAAAACATGTGTAAAAATCCACAAAAGGGTATTTAGATTTTCGTTAATAAGAACTAACTTCACAAGTACCACAAAACGAGAACAACTAGTTTCCCCTACAGGCCTAATCTACAACTTTTGTATGCCATAGCTTCCTCTATCATACAACTAACCTCAGAAAAATCATCACCCCTAGATCTAAGTAGAAGAATGTTGTTGTTGCTGTTGTTGGTGTTGAAGACTCATCAGCTCAAGCTCCTTCTGTCGAATGAGCAAAACCATTCTATCATTCTCAAGCCTCCTTCGTTCATTTTCAAGTTTGGCTCTCTCCATTTCCCTCTCCTTCTTGCTGCTAAACCTTGCCCATTTCAACCTTTGTTTCTCCAACTCATATGATTGACTCTGATAGCTCAATTGCTGCTCCTCCAACTGCAGTATCCTGCTCCTCATCCATTGCTTCTTCTCCCAAGCACTCCTACCCCCATCTTGGAACACACCACTCACCTCAGCATTCAGTTGCTGCATCATCACTGCTGACACACCAACTCCCCTCACTTTCCTTGCCTTCTTCCTCATTGACCTTCCATCATTATCATCCTCCATATCTTCATGTCCATGCCCCACATGACCCCTTGAACCACCTTCTCCCGAATCATCTTCCTCCTCATCCGAATCATCCTCAGACTCATCATCCTCATCCGAATCATCATCATTCTCTTCCCCATTTCCCATTTTCAACATCCTCAAACCCCCCAAATTCCCCACCTCTGATGAATGAAAACAACGTTGCTGTTGTTGCTGCTGCGGAGGCTGTTGCTGCTGCTGAGGCTGCACTTGAGCCTGAGCCTGAGACTGAGACACCTCACCCCCGGTCTCTCCTTGCTGTGGAGCATTGTTATTCACATGACCACAACTATTATGGTAAGCACACATTTCCCTGAAGAACAAATGTTTGGAATTGAGCAACTTCTTAACCTCCTCTTTCATCTTTGATGACAACTCCATCGTCTCCAACAAACTCTGATTCTCCACAACCCTGCAAGCAGTTCCCTTCCCGAGAATATCATTCACCCTCTTATACCTCTTGTTCAAGTCATTGAACTTATCCTCACACTGTTGAGGAGAAACATAGAACCCTTTCTCCATCATGGCCCGCGACACCGACTTCCACTTCCCTTTCTTCTGCAGCATACCCGAGGACTTCTTCTTATCAGTCCCTTCCGAGCCACCCTCATCACCAATGTAATAAACCGCCATTATCAAAAGCCTCACCATGGTGTCAGTCCACTTCATTCTCTGCCACAGCGACACCTTCTTCTTGGGGTCCGAGGTGTCATCATCATCGTCACTGAGGGCACTTTGTTGCTGTTGTTTGGTCTTGACCGAAGAATATTGAGGGTACCCTTGTTTGATCGATTGATTATGATGCTGATGATGTGGATCGGTGTCGTGGTGTGGGCCATAGGGAACCATCTGGGGGTGGTTTTGCAAATGGTGAGGGTTTTGCTGTTGCTGCGGAGGCAAAGAGTTCTCCACTCCCACCAACCCAGAGAACATTCCCGCGCCTAGCCCATTGGGTTCCATCAACAAGAAACCCCAGCTCTTGAAAACTCAACAAAACAAGCAAAAGCTACAAACTTTGGAAGAAATGCGCTTACCCTTAATCGAATAGTTGAAGAAAGGAAAAAAAAAGGTGGAAGAAGATGATGTGAGAGAGAAGGAAGGACAGAAAGTGAAACAGCAGTTTAGTATGGGATTACATAGGAGTTGATGATAGATTGTGTTGTCGGGGAAAGAGAAGAGTAAAGATAATATAAGAGAGTGTACTGATACATTGGGTTTTGAAGCAACTGGTTTTGTTGATGAAAAAGAGAGAAAAGAAAACTGCCCATGGTTTTGTGGTTGGGTTGGAGTGAGGGTTTAACCAACCCACAGGTTTTGTGCTAAACTTGGGGGACTCACGCCACGCCACGCCGACTTATGTTGTATGTGCCGTTTCAAAGCGCCAACAATGATATGATACCATAAAACTAAAACCATAAAATCTTACTATGTGCGCGCGCTGTCTCTTTCTCTCTCTTTAACTTTGGTTTTATTTTATGCAATTAAATTTTTATAAACTTAACTCATACAAATGGAACATGCATATGAAAGAGGAGGATTTGGTTGTGTAAAAAGGGCCAATAGGGTGAGGGACTTGATTTTGCTTCAGTGATTAGATAGTTATGAGCTTTACATTATGTATTTAGAAGAATAAAAAAGTAATATTCATTGGGTTTAATTTAATATGATTTATCCAATCTAATTAAATTTAGTTGAGTTAGGTTAAGTTAAAGTTATTTATATGTTTATTTTTGTTTAGCAACTCAATCATAGATTGAATTAGATTATTTTGTTGGATAAAATCATTTCTTAAAAATTATCACATCTTATACATAAAAACGATTGACTTAGAATAATCTTTGGATTAAATAATCTTAAAAATTAGCACTTTTTAAAATAAAATACATAAAAATAATAGGTATCATTAAATTATTTATATTATAAAATATAAAAGGATTTTGTATGATAAAATTATGAGATAAATACTACTTTTTTTATTATATTGTTGGGTTGGATCATCGAATTTAAAATTTATAAATTATGATTTTTAATGTTCTTGAAATCAAAGTATTTAAATTCTCTTTCAAAATTTTGCAATATAGCATAAATTAGGTTTATTTTTAAATGATACATATATATTTTATATGATTTTTATTATTTTTCTCTTACAAATTAATTTGAGGATTATATTATTAGAAAGATGCAAACATAATAAGAAACAAAAAAAAGTTAGCAAACGAGAGGTGAATTCATTGATTCGAAGATCATATAATTCTTTTCATCATAGATCTTTAAGATTCATTGTAATACTCAATTCAGAGTGGATATTCTTGATTTTATAAATTGAACCGACAAATTTAGTTTTTTATTAATAATAAATAAAGAACAAAAATGAGTGAGGAAAACAAAACGAAAATTATGAAATTTTAAGAGAAAAATAGAAGAGGAGAAAGTTTCTAAAACTTAAAAACTAAACAAATGAATTCACTACGTGATTAGAGCACATTTGGCTATATGTGTATTTTTTTATGTTAGTAGTTGTTATTTAAAATTCTGTTTTGCATTTAAATTGTTTTATTTTTTGATTCTATAAATTTAAGTCATATTGATTAGGGATGTAGGATGCTAACAATTTAGCTCCTTAATTGTAGGAAACCAAGTTTCAGGGGCATGGAGTGGATAATATTTTGAGCTTCTGCATATTTCTTTAAATAACTGTAATTAACTTTTACAAAGTGTAAAAATAAGTAGTATTTCAGTATTTCAGAAAATCTTATTTACCTGTGTCAGTTAATAATATGGTATCAGAGTACCATAACAGAGGCCTGAACCAGAAATTCTGAGTGAGTTGAGTGAGACACCGGGGTTTTAAATCAAACATTAGGTAGAAAGTGAGTGGAACAATCATTCTGAAGAATAGTTGATTCAAAGTATGCACAACCTGTAATTCCTAAATTTGATGGACATTATTATCACTGGGCAAAGCTTATGGAGAATTTCCTTCGATCAAAGGAATATTGGCATTTGGTGGAACATGGAGTAAACGTTGTTCCAGACAAAGCTATTGCATCAGAGGCAGAAATTAAAGTAATGGAAGAGCAGAAATTTAAGGATTTAAAGATAAAAAACTATCTCTATCAAGCAATATATAGAGAAATTTTGGACATCATTCTCAATGATGAAACTTCAAAAATTATATGGGATTCCATGAAGCAAAAGTGATGGAAAATCTCCTAGCCATGGTCAAACACTTTCAAGAGAGTTAAAGTCATCCTTGAAGATGGTGTCAACTCTACCTTGTGGACCACCTTTGGAGCCATCATGAAGCATGAATTGAAGAGTAGTGTAGGAATTTAGGCCATTGTATTAGGCCATGTAGTGTAGGTTTGTTTAAGGCTTGTATTAAGGCCTAAGTAGCATAGGATTTTCCTTAAAAGTTAGACATCCAAACCAAGTGGAAAGTGTGTGCCATGTGTCATGCTTCCATTGGAAAGGATTTACTTTTTAAAAGGTAGCCTGATATGCTGTTGTTGAAGTTATCAAATTAATATTACTTTTCAAGACAACTTCAGTATTACCAAGTAGTATCCAAGAAAGTAGATAGGGCTAAAGTAACCCGAGTCGTCTCCCTATGAACACGAAATTGCTTTCGAATATCTGACTCTTATGAATGTTATGCAATGCTTATGAATAATAGTGAGAATGTTGCAGAACAAATAGGAAACTTAAAAACAATTATGAAGAAATAGGCTAATTTCACTGCTTTTCCAAGATAGATTCATCATCGGTTATTCACACATCATTGTTTAATTGATTATTGTTTAAGTTTCAAATTAATTAAAGTACATTCTTAATTAATTTGAGGGTAATCATGCAATTAACCAAAGTAAATTCTCAATCAAATGCAAAACCTTTCTAGATTATTCACAATAAATTCAACCAAAGTACATTCTCAATCAAATTCTATCGTGTTTAATCAAGTATATTCTTAAATCTCCTAACCAAGTTAAAAACTAATCAATCAAAGTAAATTTTCAATTGATTATAGTTGAAATTATTACTAACCAATCAAAGTACATTCTCAATTGATAGTAAAACTCATTTAATCATATGAAAGTTCCTAAATTAAATCAAAGTAGATTCTTAATTAAACCTAGAAACCCTAGAACTCATATAATCAATATGCATGTAGATTCAAACACATTATGATGTAAAAATCATTGCTTTTAATTTGATAGAGAGATGAAAGACATAGAGAGAAAACAACTTAAATCAATAATCAAAGTAACAATTGCATTAACTCAACCTAACCTCAAAATTCATAATGAAATTACAGCAAAATAGCCCTAGATGCTTAGCTCTCCATGAATGGAGTTGAATACATGATGAAATAAGAGAGAGAAGTAGTGAATAAATGAATGAAGTCCCCTTTTCTGCTTTCCCTATGTCTCTTTATATAGGAATTTATTGGACTTGGATCCTGAATAGCTTGTTGATAAGATATATTCTGTTGATATATTTTTAGATTAAATCAATTATCTTTAAAAATATCAACTGAATTATCTATTTCATTAATGTCCTTCTTAAATTTCTAAAATTATAGAAAAGCCCTTGAGAGTTCCTCTAACTTCACTTTGACCCCAACTGAATTTTCAAAAATTGCTACAAAATCCCTGTTTGACCAACCTTGACCAAATTCAAATATGTTGACCAGAGAGGTCGCACCAATGAGGGCCTGCCACGTGGTAGCCTTCTTCATTCCCAATTAGGGTTTCAGATTAGGGCAAGGGCTTCCCCCTTTGCTCCTGCGCCGTCATGAGGAAAAAAGGGAGGGCTTCCGGCACTGCTGTTCTTGCCGAAAACATGGAGGCGCGAGAATGTGGAGGCTGCCACGGTGGTTGTAGTGGCGATTCTGTTATGGGTTTTGGCGGTGCTATTTGTTGTTTGTAGGTCCGGTGAAGATGATAATTGGTGGTGAAGGTTGCAGTTTTGATGTGCGCGACGTTCGCGATTCGAACTCGCGATTTCTGGGTTGGTCAGGTTGATGGCAGACAGGTTGAAGTCTCGCGGTGGCTGCTGCGTGTTGATGGTCTTTGCGATTCTGGGTGGCTCTGCGATGGAGGAAGGAAGACTCGCGCTGTGGTGGCAGCATGGTGTAATTCTCGTGACTTAGCGGAGGTGTGATGCAGCGGCCATGGAGGTTTCACTGTTGGTGGTGAGACTGGATGCAATTGCAGCGGTTTGCGCTGTGGAGATGGTGAGAATAGTGCAGCAAGGCGGTAGGGGAGCTTGCGAGAAAGAAGATGTTGGCCGACGGTGAGGACGGTTGCGGCTCATGATGGAGGATGGTTGTCCGGCGAGATGATGGTGGATAATGGTCGTGGTGGCGGCAAGGTGGTGGCGCGACAACATTGATGCTAGGGTTGATGGATTAGGGTTTCTCTGTTAAAGAGATGGTGATGTGGCAGATGGGGGTGATGTAGCAGCATGTGGTTGGTCTATTTGGTGTATAAATGATTAATGACGTGGCAGCTTCTCAATGGTCAGATTTGTGTGTGGAGGAGGACACGTGGCACAATCTGGTGAAATCTAATTTAGGAGGGGTAGGAATAGGAAATTTAGGGGTTCAGGAGAAAAGGCTTAGTGTTTGGGCTTGGTTGTTGGCTTGTTTCAGAAATAGGAGTGTATGTAGGGAAATTTAGGAGGTGCAAGGGTAAAGTCTGCCTGTTTGGCCCATTTGTATATTCTTTTGCAAACAAAATCTGATTTTGGGCCTTGAATTGCCATTTGGACCAATAAAACTTATAATTTCAGCTGCATAAATAAACGTAAGAATTTCCAAGAGTAATTTATGCAACCATCACAAATCCTCTTTAAATCAATCATTCAAGCACATGAATTTCATCAAAAAATTTTAAAGCATAAATGTGGTCATAAATATGCTTTCATCACACCCCCACACTTATCCTTTTGCACTCCTGGGCAAAATTGATTAATTCTAAAACTTTGTTCTGAGTCATTTATTCCATATTTGCATTTGGATGAAAAGAATGAACAACACCAGACATAGATCAATCATCTAGACATTACTTTGTCATGTATATGCAAATGAAATCACTCTATTCTTCACACATTGAGTTAACCTTTTGAATTCCCAAGAAAACCAAATATGAAAGATAACACTAAAGTCAAAATGTATCTATTTCTCTCCATCTCTCTCAAGTGTTTTTGGCTTGTGTTTACACTCAAAATACCCATGTAAGTAGACACCCTTGATATTTAGCAAGACTCTAACGTTCACATACTTCAGAAAATGTGCAATTATTGA